CATTCTAACAAAGGTAGTGATTTGTTTATGAATGAATCTTCATTATGTACAACTTGTTCTCTTAGCTGACAAAAATCCAAGTTTTTAGCAGTGCGGCATCTTGTCATATTTCATTTACATTGTTCATTTACATTTAGGTCACTGGTTCGAGTGACAGCTGAGTCAGTTAGCGTTTCTGTTTGCACGTTCTCCCTGTGTTCGCGTGGGTTTCCTCCGGGTGCTCCAGTTTCCCACACAAGTCCAAAGACATGCTGTACAGGTGAATTTGGTCAGCTACATTGTCCGTAGTGTATGTGTGAGCATGAGTGTGTATGGATGTTTCCCAGTGACGGGTTGTGGCTGTGAGGGCATCCGCTGCGTAAAAACATATGCTGGATAAGTTGGCGGATAATCTGCTGTGGTAACCCTTGATTAATAAAGGGACAAAGCAGGACAGAAAATGAATAAATGTTAGCTTTTTTATTCACCAAAACTAGCACAAGCCTAGAATTTAGTGCAAGTTGGTGCTACTTTGCCTTATGATCAGTGCAGTAAGAGACTGTATTATCATCAATAACATTACTTGTTTAGCACAAAAGTTCATAACATACAAAATCATAAAAAATAAAATCTTACCCAAGGAATGTTCCGCCTTAATGCTTTGTTTGCTCGTTACTACACCCGTACACAGCGCTAAAGTCCAGCATCGTCACATTGGCTTTAGTCTTGACTAGTGCAGTTGAATAACATTTGTGCTGGGAGCACTGTACAAAAATGGTGGCGCTATTGATGCATTCTCAGGGTCCGGATGCGATATCTAGTAGTGTTTTATCAACTGGTGGATCGCTTTTGGGTCGCGGGACCATTTTCAGTGGGTCGTGGAGTGTGTGGTCAAAAAAACAACAAAAGTTTAATTTTTAACTTATTTTGACTTTTATTTTAAAATGCGTGCACGACAACCCTACCGTTTGACGTGAAATTTCATTTTAATATGGCAACAAATGTCAAAGTGCAAGTCAGCCCTGAATATGTAAAGAATGGGATTTGCATGTATTGACGACAAAAAAGACTTAAAGCCTCAGCGTGTCATAAGTAGTGAGGTGCTCTCACAAGAGAGCATGAAACCTTTTAAATTAAGACGACATTTAGACACCAGACAACATGATTTATTAACAGTTCAGTTTAGTTCATAGTAACTGAACCTTTCCTTACCCTAACCACTGTTTACAGTATTTGTCGTTTTTACTTTGCAATATTTCTATAATTTGATACATTTTGTTAAATGACAGCAATAAAATATAGTTCATTTGTAAGTCTTTGTGATTTTCTTATGATTTATCTGTCACTACTTGTGTATGTAAACAAATAAATACAAATTAATTATAATTCCTAAAAATGTATTGTAGTTCCTAAAAAATTGGGTAGCAGCTTAATGACCATGTAAAAATGTGGGTCCCGTGGCCAAACCAGTTGAGAACCCCTAATCTAGTGTATATATCTATGATGATGAGAGATGAGGGCGACGCAGCTTTTTATTATGCCACAGTCCACCACTGTTTTATCCTTATAAAAACATTATATATAATGTTAAAATGCTGCTCTGTGCTGTCTAATAAGACATACAACACTTTAAACTGTCTTTGGTGTTTTAATGAAAAAGCAAAATCAAGTGGAAGGTGTGGGACGTCATTAGCTTGATCATTAGCATGGCCACACAGGACACAGTTCGTTTCACAAGTTAAAACAGAATATTTCCCAGAATTTGAACATTCTTCGAAACATTTGGGATAATGTAAGTGCATAACTCAGCAAAATATATAATACTATATGGCAATTTATAAAACATTTGAATTGTTTTTGGAAACTATAACATTCTGTGCCTTTAAATCACTATTATTTGATTCCACTTATTTTTTTAGAAAACAGTGGATAACACAGGACAATCACGCTGCATCATAACAAATTGACAACACTCGATGAAAATGAATAACTGCTCCAGAATCTGACCGTTCTTGGCTTCCAGCAGTTTGTTGATGACACCGCTGAGATCTGCAACCTCGGAGGAGGCAGGGATGGAGAACGGAACATCATCTACCAGATATCTAGAGAAGAGCATAAAAACACAGCTCATACACTTTACACATCTACTAATCTTATATATCTTAAAAATCTGTTAACACACATAAACGACGAGCAGAGTTTATAAAGAAGTCTTATGAACACTGATTACTGCAGAGCAAATGTCAGCTGGGTATTACTTACGAAGCTACAGCTAAACATCTAAGCTAACTGTTAGCTGTGCTATCGTGGACATTTATACTCACTTTTTGTTTTCGGTGAAGAACCGAGCCTGTAGCTGCGACATTTTGTCTTATTATAAGAAAACCGCTTAGAAAACACGCGATAAATGAATCGGCGAAGTTCAGTGTGTATGGGGATACTTTGCCACCATGTGTTTCCCAATGCGTGCCTGGAGAAGGCATGACAGTCGATTGCAGATGGCAATCGACGATCGACAAATGCGCTGGCAACTGCTTATGTCTGTGTTGAGCTACACGTTTAAACAAGAAGTTTAGTAAAGTTTCTCTGTATTGCGGATTTTTTTTTTGCGTTTAAATAGGTTTCATAAAAATATATATCTTAAAGTAGAACAGCTAAAATATCAACATTAATCTCACGTCTACAGTCTAAAGTTACCAGGGCCGGAGTGGGACTCCTTTTCAGCCCTGGAGTTTCAAGCCTTTGACCGGCCCACTTCACTTCACGACTTACTATATTAAAATAACGTAATTTCCAATTTTATAATGACACTATCACGTCTTTTTCAAGGACACAGCTGCTTTAGAAGTTCAAATATTTTTCATAAATATGAGAACATTAAAGGGTAGCTAAATCTCCATCAGTATTCTTTAAAACATCACAATTTCCTTTCCTGCTATATCTGAATATATATTCTGTGCAAAATTCTTTATAGATATATATACCTTTTTAACGGTGGTCACACAAAAAATAAAAATAAAATATGTACACCTACATAAGTAACCCAAACAGTATTGTATGTTTAACACTAAAAATGAAAAAATTAAAAATTCAATAAAAAGACTCAGATGGGGTTTGAACTTGGGTCAGTCGTAACATAACGTGCCGACCGCTGGACCAGTGTTATGATGCTGTGTAGAAAACTACTTTCTATTGATGACCTAATCTTTTTTCCCCTTTTTAGATTTCTGATCAAGTTATGTCAGATTTAATGTAGTGAATCATCTGATTTTCACTGAGCAGGTGTAATATTCATTCATATTAATATATTAAATTTTTATATTCACTGAGGTGCCGCTGTTTGGAGTAGAATGATAGTTACATAATCATTAACATGCAGGCTGCATTTTGCTCACGGGGCTGTGGGAAAAGCTGCGGCAAAATAAAGAATAAAAAGAGTGAGGCTATGGTCAAATAAGTAAATAAATTTAAAAAAGAGCGACTGCTAAGAGTTCAAGCAGCTAGGGACACCGGCCCTCGTGACCAAAAAATGGACCGGCCCAGCAGGAATTCTCCCGGTCCTCCTGATTAGCCAAACCGGGCCTGAACGTTACACTCTGAAGACATTATAACAGATACATTCAGAAGGCTACTAAGATTTATAAACATACCAAATGCTAATATAACTCAGAATATAAAACGGTTAAATTAAACTAAAATGTAATTTTAACCTTAGAAATATTTTGATTTAATAGAAATATTTCTATTTATAGTCAGTAGATTGTATATATTTCAAATGCAGCCTCATTTTACATCTCGTAAAAAGGGGGATAATAGGTTCCCTTGAACTAAGAAACCTCAGATTTCTCTGACCCAGCTCTGGCCCACACAATCAGCTTTTGCTTGGCCCACATGCCACAGTAAATTACCCAGGTAGTAAAGAATTCTGGCCCAGATTTGGCTTATAGCTGGCACAGCAGACATTCCTCTGGCACAGGCATACAGCATGTGGGCCAAACATGGTCTGCCTTTGGCAGAGGTGGCACCATTTTTAAGGTGGCACACAAGATTTGGGCCAGATTTAAAATGTATAATTGGCCCAGATGTAAAAAATTAATATGTGGGCCACGTACTGTACGCTTGGCCTGTCTTGACCCACATTTAAAATACATTAAAATTATTTTTAAGTAAAGAAAAAACTGCTAATCAGGTCACTTTGAGAAAGAGCACGCCCGTAATGTGCCTAAAGTGCAATGCTTCATGGGTTTATCAATTTCATTGCAATCGTGACACACCAACCTATCTGGCCCAGTTCTGGCTCAGTGGCCCACACGGGATCTGCGCGCACAGAATTCCCAAATTTCCGCAGATTTTTTAGCCCATCATTAATTCTGTTTATTTACTTGAGTAAATGTGTGTAAATCTATATTTATTCAGTTTTTAAATTAATTACAGTAACATTATTGACTAATGTGAAAATGCTCATCTGATTTATGTACAATACAGTTTGTAAAGTATTATTTTCTGTCTTTAAGTAGAGATATTATATGAGAAACTTGCTTTGTTTACCAAATAAAGTGAATCTAATTGGATTTGCATTTTGAACATTAAATAAAAGTTAAAAAGATATTATTTTAATTTCACATATTAAGGTTTTAGTTATGATACTCCCAAAATAATTCAGCAGAAATCAGCAGATTTTTACCAAAACTCCACAGAAATAGCAAAAAATGTCCGCAAATTCTGTCTGGCCCTAGTTATGAGTTATTAACTTGGCTGAGACTTGACCCAGAAATGGTCCATGTTTGGCCCTTGTCTGGAAGCCAAACTTGGTCCAGCCATGTACCGTAATTCACTGCCGCATGTGGGCCAAGTAAAATCTAATTGCATGAGCCAGAGCTGGGCTAGAGAAATTTTGTTATGTGGGTACGGTTGGCTACATGACTGGACCAAGTCTGGCTTCCAGACAAGGGACAAATACATAGACCATGTCTTGGTCAGCCAAGTAAATAAGTCATAACTGGGCCTGAACTGTGTCTGATATGTTGGTGTGCATCGTTGAGACACCAAAGTAAGTAACTTTTCTAGGGAACAAGTAAAGTAACACATTGCTTTAAAAATTCATTCATTCATTCATTCATTCATTTTCTTGTCAGCTTAGTCCCTTTATTAATCCGGGGTCGCCACAGCAGAATGAACCACCAACTTATCCAGCAAGTTTTTACGCAGCGTATGCCCTTCCAGCCACAACCCATCTCTGGGAAACATCCAGACACACATTCACACACACACTCATACACTACGGACAATTTAGCCTACCCAATTCACCTGCACTGCATGTCTTTAGACTGTGGGGGAAACCGGAGCAACTGGAGGAAATCCTCGCAGGGAGAACATGCAAACTCCACACAGAAATGCCAACTGAGCCGAGGTTCGAACCAGGGACCCAGCGACCTTCTTGCTGTGAGGCGACAGCACTACCTACAGCACCACTGCCTCGCCTGCTTAAAAAATAAGTCATAATATTTGAGTTACTTTTTAACTTAATAATTTTTTTAAAAGCTTTTAAAAATTACATTGCTGAATTAAATTAGTGTAATCAGACAGAACCCAAGATGACAGAGTCTTACATTTCTGTGATGGAAGTATTCTTATTATTTTGAACACAGAGAAGAAAAGGGGATAATAGTCTCAATAAGCAATGATTTTACTGGACTAATAAGAGAAAAATATAAAAGCAGCAAACACATTGCTTTCAACTTTCAGTAATCTGTATACGGCATGTACAGTTGAAGTCAGAATTATTAGCCCCCTTTGAGTTTTTTCCCCCTTTTTTCCCAAATGATGTTTAACAGAGCCAGGAAATTTTCACAGTATGTCTGATAATATTTTTTCTTCTGGAGAAAGTCTTATTTGTTTCATTTCCGCTAGAATAAAAGCAGGTTTAAATTTTTTAAAAAACATTTTAAAGTCAAAATTATTAACCCCTTTAAGCAATATTTTGTTTCCTATTTGTCTACAGAATTAACCATTGTTATACAATAACTTGCCTAATTACCCTAACCCGCCTAGTTAACCTAATTAACTTAGTTAAGCCTTTAAATGTCACTTTAAGCTGTATAGAAGTGTCTTAAAAAATACCTAGTCAAATATTATTTACTGGTTGGCTAGTGGTACTGCGCACTGACATATAGACATATACGCCACAGCCATATCACCCTGCAGCCCAAGACCGGTTACTCACTGAAGCTAAGCAGGGCTGAGCCTGGTCAGTACCTGGATGGGAGACCACTAGGAAACACTAGGTTGCTGTTGGAAGTGGTGTTAGTGAGGCCAGCAGGGGGCGCTCAACCTGTGGTCTGTGTGAGTCCTAATGCCCCAGTAAAAGTGAAGGGGACACTACACTGTCAGTGGGTGCCGTCTTTCGGATGAGACGTTAAACCGAGGTCCTGACTCTCTCTGGTCATTAAAAATCCCATGGCACTTCTCGTGAAAGAGCAGGGGTGTAACCCCGGTGTCCTGGCCAAAGTCCCTCTATCGGCCCTTACGATCATGGCCTCCCAATCATCCCCTTCCACCGAATTGGCTCTATCACTGTCTCTCAATAGCTGGTGTGTGGTGAGTGCACTGGCGCCATTGTCCTGTGGCTGCCGTCACATCATCCAAGTGGATGCTGCACACTGATGGTGGTGTGGAGAGACCCCCCTCATGATTGTGAAGCGCTTTGGGTGTATGTATGTTCGCGAAATCACTTTCGCGAACGCTCACGCTCAATCTGCCCAGTTGGTGGAATGAACTCCCTAACTGCATCAGAACAGCAGAGTCACTCGCTATTTTCAAGAAACGACTAAAAACTCAACTATTTAGTCTCCACTTCACTTCCTAATCTGCAATTGCCTATTTGAATATCACACTAACTGTACAAAAAAAAAAAAAAAAAAACTACTAACACTTCCCTTCTTAGACTTTACAGACCTGAAACTTGCCTTTAGTACTTATTCATTGTTGCTCTTAGTTGTGTAAATTGCTTCCTTGTCCTCATTTGTAAGTCGCTTTGGATAAAAGCGTCTGCTAAATGACTAAATGTAAATGTAAATGTAAATGTATGGCCATACACAATAAATGCGCTCTATAAATACACATTACATTACATTGCATTACATAGCACCAGCGTGCTCACGGCAACCTGAGTTCGATTCCTGGCTTGAGGTCCTTTGCCGATCCTTCCCCTCTCTCTCTGCTCCCAATGCTTTCCTATCTGAATTCTCTACTGTCTACAGGAATAAAAAGTAACACAACTAGTTACTTTTTTGGAGTGTAACTGAATATTGTAATGCATTACTTCCAAAAGTAACTTTCCCCAACACTGTTGGTGTGTTTTACATTGTGTGCAACCTCTGCCAAACCCTGGTCATGTTTGGCCCACATGCTGTATGCCTGTGCCAGATGAATGCCTGCTCTGCCAGCTTTTGCCAAATCAATTCTTTGCTACCTGGGTTGTTTTCTTTTACACCATACTGAAAACAAAACACTTTACGGAAAGCCAAAAAGGCCAAAAACTCAAAACTGACAGGGTTTTTCCCCAGCTCAACGTAACATCAGGTCTCTTTATCCACATATCCTTGAGAAGCGTGTCCTGATCAACAGCCGTCAGTCTGACAGTAACTCTGCAGTGTTTGGGTCACGGCGCCCCAGCAGGCCCAAGGGGTCGAGGCCGCGTCTGCTGTGGGTCTGCAGCTGCAGGACGGCTCTCTGCATTTCCCAAGACCCTTCTGGGGACTCCACGCACATCTCCCGAGCCTCTGCTCCCTTGGCAGTGAGCACCCGTGGGAGGCAGAGCCAGAGATAACGCAGCGCTTGAAGATCCACACATTACCTCACAGAGAAGCAGAGGGAGGAGATGAGGAGACGCACGGCCTCTTCTGTCATTTAGAGAGACGGGTTCAGCCGGCGGTGCCCATGGCGGAGCGGGCGCTGGATGAGGACATGGCCTGGCAGAGAGGTGAGGATGGAGGAAAGAGCCTGAGGACGCAGACGTGGAACCAGACGTGTGTCAAACTGGCAACGCAGAGAGAGGCAAAGAAGTGGGTGAGTGCAGGAAAAGGTGGATGGAGCCACTTGGGTTTTATTAAATAACATATTTTAGAGAACATATTTATCTGTAAAAAAATTATTCATTGGATTTGCTTGATTTTTAAGGTAAGTGGTTGCAAACAATTTATAAGGGCTGTATTTTATCAAAGCAGTACATTTAATTAGTGTGTTTAAATTCTGCCCATATTGAAACCTCAAATTCATTCATTTTCTTTTCGGCTTAGTCCCTTTGTTAATCTGGGGTTGCCACAGCAGAATGAACCGCCAACTTATCCAGCATATTTTTACTCAGCGGATGCTCTTGCAACCTATCTCTGGGAAAGCAACCTACTTACCTTAAAATAATTTAGTTCATTCAATTAATAATTTTGTTCACTGTAGATATGTTTAAATTTAGTGGCAAACTTTTTTATTTTAATGCTAAATACATGAGAAATATTTAATGATAAACTATGAATAATATAGTCCAAGAAATATTAATATTTAAAACTATCCCACTTAGAAAAATACATTTTATTTTTACTTTTAGTTGCATTTTATTTTTTTATTAGAAAATATGCTGCTTATTAATTTGTGTAAACATTAAAGGCAACAAGGAGGCATTTCTTTGGTCAAAAACTATAATAGATTTCTTTTTAAAATAGACAATGTTTTTTGAACCTATATAAAAAAACACACATACAAAATGTAAAAAGTATAATAATCAAAATAATCATTTGAGTTCATCAAAATGTATATAAATTACTATTATATTAATATTAAATATGAGACATTCTACCAAAAACATACATTATCTGTCCCTGAAATGAAAACATATACAGTTGAGGTCAGAATTATTCGCCCCCCCCCCCCTCTGTTTCTGTTTACTGGAGAGAAGATTTTCTCAACACATTTCTAATCATAATAGTTTTAATAACTAATTTCTAATTACTGATTTATTTTATCTTTGCCATGATGACAGTAAATAATATTTGACTAGATATCTTTCAAGATACTTCTATACAGCTTAAAGTGACATTCAAGAGCTTAGGTTAATTAGGTTAACTAGGCAGGTTAGGGTAATTAGGCAAGTTATTGTATATTGATGGTTTGTTTTGTAGACTATAGGAAAAATATATAGCTCAAAGGGGCTTATAATTTTGTCTTTAAAATGGTCTAAAAAAAATTAGAAACTGCTTTTATTCTAGCCGAAATAAAACAAATAAGAAGAAAAAATATTATCAAACATACTGTAAAAATGACTTGCTCTGTTACTCATAATTTGGGAAATATTTAAAAAAGAAAAAAAAATCAAATGGGGGCTAATAGTTCTGACTTCAACTGTAAATACAGTCAATAAAAGTATTTCCTCTCAAAAAATGTCTAAAATGGCATGATGGTTGATTTCTAGGAGTTGTTCTGTAAAGGAATACGTCATTCATTTGGTTCTCAGATTTCTTTTCTTTATTAAAAACACTTTACAAATGTATAAACTCTGCCATTGTCCTTGTCCTCAGCCCGACTGATCCTACAGCTTTAATAGTTTAGTTATGCTATGGATGGTTATTTAGAAAAAAAATGTAATTCAGTTGACATCAGTTGATTAAAAACATCAGATTATAAATACATTCTACAAATAAATACTATTTTACAATTGTCCACATGTTTCCGTCTGTCCTGTCACATTTGCATTCAATTTAACATAAAATGTGTGCATTACACGTTTAAGGCTCTGACTCGGAGTAAGTGACATCATTCGACGGAGAAGCTGACAGTGATCAGTGATGTTCTGTCATTGAATTGGAAGATTTTCATGCTTGTTTTTGTATGATTATTTTGAGGACGACAAGCTTAAGTCAAGCCCTGTCACATTTTTTAAAAGTGAAAATTTACATTTCTGGTAGTATGTCATATACTAAATCTAATTATAAATAGGTATATTTTTTCAAACTTTTTTGCTTATAATTTAATTTGTAATCATTTCCCTACAGAAACTGTGGATTTGAACTCAACTATACAACAGGTTTAAGACTCACTTTTTAAGAAAACAAAAATGACTGGCAAAGTACAATAAAAATACTATTTGAGTTCAAAATGTACTGTTTAATGCAATCTGATTTTTATCATTTGTAATTATTTGTTCAGTTTAATGAGAATGAAAGAAAAAAGTACTGTTAATTTTCTGACAAGTAACAAATAATAATGAATTTCAATAATAACAACTGATCAAATTGAAAACAATATTAATTAATAAACAACCTTTAAATGCACTTATAGTTTTTTCTATAATTTGTGTAGTCAGGGTGCGAATTACAGGGGGATTTGGAGGGGATTGACCCCCTAATTAAAGCTTGATCCCCCCTGAAGGGGGATACAACAAGTATGGGGGGGTCAGTCTTTTAATAGTCGTTTAATAAGATATAGCTTTCTCTGACGTACAGTATAAATATATATATTTATATTGTACCCCCTTCCCCCGTGCCAATCAATGCTTGGAAAAATATCATTAAACAGTCTGAACTGGCAGTTCTAGAGCACCAAAGCACATCTTTGGTATTCACAAACCATGTTTCTTGTAAAATAGGTGCTTATATCTGCATGTAGCCTAAAAAAAGAAAAAATAGACACATCATTTGTATAGTTTGACCTACAGTAACATGTAAAATAATCACTAAATATCCATCAAAACTCTGAAAATGTTTACATTTTGTTATTTGAGATGTAATTTAAATACATTAATGAATTTGATTGCATTAGCAAACTACTACTGAAAAAATTAACCCCCCAATCTTCAATAATTCACACCCTGTCTATAATTAAACTATTAATCCAACCATACAATCATTAACCGCATCAAAGAGTTTTGTGATGCAAAAAGAAAACAGTAAATACACTCTGCTTAATGAATCTCTTTTTAAAAATAAGTCCATAACACTATAAGACACCTAATATTAAGTAAGACACCTAATATTAAGTAAGACACCTAATATTAAGTACGACCTCCTTTAAAAAACTTTTTCATATTTTTTTCGATGGTCTCAGGTGAAGTCTGGACCGACAGCGTCATCCAGAGCCTGTAAGAGTCAAACGTCTCCAGAAAACGCAGCGAGAGAAAGGAGTCGAGTTCGTAACCTCAGACAGGCCTTCCACAGCCTGCAGGCGGCTTTACCCTCCGTCCCGCCAGACACCAAGCTCTCCAAGCTGGATGTTCTGGTTCTGGCAACCAACTACATCGCCCACCTGACTGAGACCCTGGACCAGGGCGGCATGTTGGGTGACCAGAGCGTCTTGCAGAGAGTCGAGTACCTGCATCCAGTGAAGGTCAGAGACTTTCTTTTGTGGTTGCCATGATGACAGTACATCATATTTGACTTGATATGTTTCAAGACACTATAGTGTTCAGCTTGAATTTAACATTTAAAGGTTTAAATAGGTTAATTAGGGAAGTTAAGGTAATAGGCAAGTCATTGTATTATGATGGTTTGTTTTGTAGAGACAATTAAAATATTATTGATTAAGGGGGCTAGTGACCTTAAGAATGTAATGGTTAAAAAATATTAAAAACTGTTTATATTCTAGCCGAAATAAAACAATTAAGACTTTCTCCAGTAGAAGAAATATTATAGGAAACACTGTGAAAATTTCCATGCACTGTTAAACATCATTTTCGGATAAAAAAAAAAAAAAGTAATCGGACTTCACAAGAGGGCTATTGATTTTGACTTCAGCTGTACATTGAATGTATCATGCTATATTTACAATTCGAGACATTCGAGTCTTCAGGCACTCAATCATGTGAGGAATTAGTTGCTGTTGTACATTTAAATCTTGACTTTAATCTTCAATCAATATCTCGATATATTACAATTACTCATATGTGTGTGTGTGTGTGTGTGTGTGTATATATATATATATATATATATATATATATATATATATATATATATATATATATATATAATATATATATAATTTTTGCTTACGTTAATCTGACTTTAACTATCCAAATAACGGGTATAATATGGTTGTAACATGATTAATATTGAAGTAAAACATGGCTAATATGGTTTAAAATAGGATATATAAATGTGTGACTTACGTAAGTTTCTAATATGCTGATTTGCTTCACAAAAATATAATTGCTGTAATATAGTGGAATACAATCCCATGTAAAACCTTCATTAAAAATATATAGACTAAACATTATATTAAGTTATTATTATATTAATATAAATTTTTATCCAACAACGTAAAAAAAATCAATGAGTAATAATCAACAACATGTTATAACTTTGACATAATTTCACCATAATTCAACTTCATTTTATTTAAGTTATACAGGATTGAGCTTGATGTTTTAAGTCAGTTTAATGTAATGTTGTTTTAAGTGACTTGCAAAGTTCATTTGATTCAACTTAAAAGTGCATGTAGCAAAGGTTTTACTTTTAAAAATATCTGTAAATTAGTTGTTTTTGCTATTTTGCGATTTTTATTTATGCTTTTGAATTTCATAACGAGACCTTGATCTTTCTTCTAACTTTTAACTTTAAAAAGTTGGAAAAGGTGACTTTTATTCATTTGTAATAGTTTAAAGTGATATATTGTCTGTGTTGGTGTAATTTGAAGTACAAAAACCTTGTAATAAGCAGCCAGTACATTTTCTATTATGTTACAGACTTATTTCTTTTTACTGTATATAATTTTGTATACATTACATTATTTCAAACTACCAAAATGTCAATAAAAATCACTTTGTTAAACTGTAGAGTTGAATTTTTTCAACATCAAAATTCGACAGAGCAGAGATCAAGCTCCCATAATGTAAATCACAATCATAAATAAATGAAAAACACTTGTGAATCACAAAACACGGAAACTGTTCATTAACAGATTTGTTTTGCAGTAAAAACAGACAGAAAAATTTTTAACTTCACTCTAGCTAAAAGATTTACCATGAAATTGGCCATTTCCTTTAACTTTAAAACGCAGGAGGTGGTTCATTCCGCTGTGGCGACCAATGAAATGGAGACTAAGCCAAAAAAAAATGAATAAATAAATAAAACACAAGAAAAATTTTCTATTTCTTTTTATTAGTATTAACACTGTCTAAATAACGTCTTTGTCAATAAAAAGACATTAGGGTAACTCAGTTCACAAACATATCTTACTAAAGTCAGACATCATATTTTGATTGAGAGCCACTTACAGTCAAGCACTGTCAAACTCTTACTTACAGCTACTTTTATTCAACCAGCAAGGTTTTTTTTTTTTTTTTTTTTTTGACACCGGCTTTTCCCAAAAGATAATAAGAACTTTGAAAAATGCTGGGTTCCACACAATCGATTTGTGTTGGAACAACAGGAAGAAATTAAGTTAACTTATTAGTCTTAACTTATTTAAGTGGATTAAACATAAAGAAAACAAGTTGTCCCTCAAAAACCTCATGATTTGTGTTGTTTTAGCTCATTTTAAATAAGTACTTTAAATAGCAAACATCATTTTTTTAATGAGGCATTATTGTGGGAAAAAAAAAAAAATATATATATATATATATATATATATATATATATATATATATATATATATATTTATATATATATTTCTTAGCTTTCATTTACATCCAAACAAAAAGTTTAAGTCAGAATTTTCCAGGGGCATGAATAATATTAGCCATGACTGTGTATATGTTTTAATACTGAGTCAATCTATATGTTCATGCTGAAGGTGTGAAAGTGAAAGACTTGTGTCCCCTTAAACAGAAATGGCCGATGCGTTCTCTTCTGTACTGTGGAAACATTGGAGAGCGACTGACCGGAGCACAGGTCAGCCAGGAGACGGCCAGCAAAGCCGAAAGCAGACTCACAAACTGAGGAAAAATCAACTGCTGGACAACACTAAAGCTTGTGCAGGAAGTCACACACACACACACATGCTCGATATTTCCACATTATTTACTTTTTGTTTTGATAAAACACTAGAAGTACAAGGTTGATTTATATATTATTCACATTTTTATATACAGATGAAGTCAGAATTATTAGCCTTCCTGAATTATTAGCCCCCCTGTATATTTTTCTCCCAATTTCTGTTTAACGGGAAGATTTTTTTCAACATAATAGTTTTAATAACTCATTTCTAATAATAGATTTTTGCCATGATGACTGTAAATAATATTTTACTAGATCATTTTAAGACAGTATTCAGCTTAAAGTGACATTTAAAGGCTTAACTACGTTAATCAGGCAGGTTAGGGTTATTAGGCAAGTCATTGCATAATGATGGTTTGTTCTGTAGACAATCAGAAAAAAATATAGCTTAAGTGGGCTAACAATATTGACCTTAAAATGGCTTTTAAAAAAATAAAAACTGCCTTCATTTTATCCGGAATAAAACAAATCAGACTTTCTCCAGAGGAAAAAATATTATAGGAAATACTGTGAAGAATTCCTTGCTCTGTTAAACATCATTTGTGAAATATTTGAAAAAGAAAAAAATCATCAGGGCTGATCATTTTGACTGTTTTTGTGCTGATTTTATTTGCTATTTTGTATTTAAAAATGGGAAAAGTCGAATGTAAAAAGGTTTAGTAATAAAAATAAGAACATAAGAACACTACCTGACAAAAGTCTTGTCGTCAATCCCATTCATAAGAGCAACAATAATAACTTGACTTCTAGTTGATCATTTGGAAAAGTGGCAGAAGGTCGATTTTTCCGATGAATCATCTGTTGAACTGCATCCCAATCATCCCTAATACTGCAGAAGACCTACTGGAACCAGCATGAACCCAATGTCCTCATAGAAATCAGTCAAGTTTGGTGAAGGAAAAGTCATGGTTTGGGGTTACATGTAGTATGGGGACGTTATTATTTGTTGTTCAGAAAACTTGGATAGGCGACAAGACTTTTGTCAGGTAGTGTATACAAAGCATTTTGTAAAAAAAAAAAAACTAAAGACGTTGTAAAACTCACTGTACTTGGATTATTTCAAACTTAAAATACATTTTCAGGCATCCCATCATTTTATCTGCATTTCTAGAGAGGAGATGTTGGAAAATTACCTTCTTACCTATTGAAAAAATAAAATAACTAAATTAGCAGGTCACTTTATCTCCACTGGCCGTCTGTATCTTGAGTGTTTGGGTTTAATATGCATGTTTTGCACTTGATAGTAATAAAATGAATGTCTTGATTAGTGGAAAGGGAGGATTGTTATAAGGAACACTTGGCAACCATGCATGAGTGCAGAACCCCCATGCGCTCTTAATCATGGGTAGCTCAGTAAAAAAAAAAAACTGCACTAAATGATTGTGCAAAACCCTTATAAGAATATTTTCACCTCCAGATGCAACAGCGGTTGTACATTAAACACAAAACTACTCTAGACTGAGACTGCACCACCATATTTGGTAATTATCGCTGAATAAAATGTGCGTCATGTTCAAATACGAGAATAATAAATTAAAGAGACATTCTTAATGAGGGCAATGCAGACATTAGTCAAAGGTTTGCGCTCGCTTTACTGAATTAATGATCTCCATTATCTTGAAAACATTTTGTTCTATGCTAACGCTTGAATGTTGGAAATTCATTTGGGACTTTTTCCAGTGTGGTTTAACCCACATGTGAATAAACCAATGCCAAAGAGAAAAACATCTTTGTGTTTCATTTTATTTCCATTAAAGTTTGGGTTTTCTTTCATCATATGGTGTTTTAAGGGGTTTATTTATAGATAATGCTATAAAATAATCCAGAGATACTTCACCAGTTTTATTGATTGTGTTGAATTATTAGAATTAAAATGTTTTACATACACATACTATATGTATATTATTTCTATTACATTAGATTAGTCAATACTGAAGCCAAATCTGGAGCTAATCTAGCAAAATAATTTATAATAACAGTCCAAAATTATTAGTAAACCCCAATTTATATTTTAGGTAAAAATATTAAATAATAAAAAAAGCAAAATTCAAGAGAAACTAAATTTATTGTTTTGTTAAAATTTGGTAGCTTCTACTTTTTTTCAATATTTCGATTGACTTTCATGTTTTGTCTTTCCATTTCTAAAGATGTTCTGTGACTAAATTATTAATTTAATAAATATAACAGCTATCGATATCACCACATGGCCTTAGGACTACTATAGCAAACTTTTGTGAAGTACCACAATTCGTAGTTACATCCAGAAATCCCAGTTACTGTCAAAAAGAAGCCCTATGTTAACAGTGTCCAGAAACACAGTTACTTCTCTGGGCCATCTGGGATAGACCATCACACAGTGGAAACGTCTACTGTGGTCAGATGAATCAGTATTTCAGGTATATATTGACGCCATGTGCTACGGACCAAAGAAGAACAGGCTCATTATAACTGTTACCGGAAACAAGTCCAAAAACCATGGTCTGTCATGATATGGGGTTGTGCCAGTGCCCTTGGCAAAGGTAACTTTAACTTCTCTGGCGGCACCATTAATGCTGAAAAGTAAACAGATTTTGAAGCACAATATGCTGCCCTCTTATCCTGGGGTGCCCATGCATATTTCAACAAAACAATGCAAAACCACATTCAGCACACACTGCAAAGTCCTGGCTGCGGGGGAAGAGGATACAAGTAATTGACTGGCCCGTCTGCACTCCAGACCTCTCTCCAATAGAAAATGTGTGGTGCATTTTGAAGAACAAAATGCAACAATAAAGACCCATACTGTTGCCCATGTTAAGACTTGTTTGCAGGAAGAATGGGAAAAAAATTACACCAGAAATACTTCATCAGTCAGTGTCTTCAGTTCCTAAACATCTTTTAACCTCGTGTTGCTAAAAGGAATGGAAACATTACAAAGTGGTAAATGCTTTACTGTCCCAACTTTTTTAAAGTGTGTGGCAAGAACCAAAACTGGAATCCATGTTTATTTATAAAAAAATATATATATAAAAATCATGAGGAGCATGTTAAATTATGTTTATTGTCTGCAATAAAATACGTCAAAGTTAATTTAGAAATAACCACTTTCTTTTCTATTTGCGTTTTCCACTGTCTCAACTTTTTCTGATTTGGGGTTGTAATTATGAAATAACTTGAATTATATGAGGGTGTTTAGCAGGACTTAAGCAGGATAGCACTCCTCCTCATATCTCAGCCTGCACATCAAAGCTCCTGAAAGCAAAGAAGGTGAAGGTGCTCCAGGATTGGCCAGCCCAGTCACCAGACATGAACATTGTTGAATTATGTAACATGTTTTTAACTACAAACTTGATTGTGTACAACTGAAGATTCTTTGGAAGCACCGTTATAAGTGTACATGGCAACACTGACAAGAACGTCCCTCTATTAACCTGACTTGTGAAAAAATCAAATCATATGAATGACAAAAATAAATAAGTCTTTGGTCACTGCAAGAGAAATTCCAGGTACCAAACATGCATTTTATATAGGCACACACAAAAAAACTATCCCTTAAACTTATGCTCACATAGATATGAATCACCATCAATCACACTGAGCACTTAGTTCACAATCTTACAGCTCACTTGTCTGTTACTACTTTGAGTCAAATTTATTACTAAAATGCTATTCTAGAAAGTCGAGTTCAATCAAATTAACCATCACAAATAGCTCAATGTGTTTTGTTTGTGTGGTGAGAAACCCAAATATCCTCAGTTATTCTTGTCCAGAACTCCGGCTCTTCATGAAACGTGGGCTCTCATCCATAAGTAACGGTCAAGGCTAAGTCTATAAATCTGTCTAAGCTGCTGATAAAAGTGTTTTCTCATGTTAATAGCCAGAATGGCCCAGAGAGAACTGCGCTACTAAGGCAAGGGTTATGGAGCCAGAGAGCGAGGGCAAGCGTTTGCTGTCAGAATCTCTGCCACCACAAAACTCCTTCACCATTTAAGGAGTGTTTTAACCAAAGATGAGCCGAGGATGAATAAATCTGCTTTAATGATAATTCTGAATGCTGTAATTAATTGAGGAAATTCTGGAATCTGCAGGGAAAACATGTCTAAACCTCAACCAGCATATGTGGGATGTGGGGGGAAAGGAAGACTCGCATCATTGATGTGCAGCTGACAAATCTGCAGCCACTACGAGACGGTACAATGTCAATAAGGACCAAAATTTCTGAGGAATATTTCCAGTACCTTGTTGAATCTACGATTAAGGCAGTTCTGAAAGCAAAAAGGGGTCCAACCCAATACTAGTAAAGTGTACCTAATAAAGTGGCCTGTGAGTGTCCATTGCAATATGAATACATTTTCTCCTGATGGCTTGAATATGTCTATTTAAAAATAATCAATACATTTAGATTGACTAGGACCCTAATTTTGTAGGGGAGGGGATCTTAAAATATAAAACACTTTAAAAGCTAAAACTAATAATAAACAATGCTTTATAGGTTTTCTGTGGAAGTTGAACAGAATTCATGTATAGAAATAATCAAATGTAAAACACTGCATAGTTGTTATTTTTGTAAATGCAATGTGTTTATTCAGTTTAAGTTACAAATGGCTCCATTTATTGTGCATAAATGCTTTAAACCCTCGTGAAATGCCCAGTCACAGGTCTGAACAGATGCAAAAACTTTTACTTGATTATGGTTAAATCTTCCAGAACATTAGATTTGTAAAGTCACCGCAATGTTGCATCTGGTCAAGTCAATTCCTGATTCAACATTGCATATCTCGAGATGTGAAGACTGCAGCTGAGGCCATGGTGATATTGATTCTAAAGCGAGATGTTGTTCTAGTATCTTTTTATTAGGTACCTGCTGAAGTATGCCAGTTTTAGCTAAATATAAATTTTATACATTTGAAGATGCACTTTAAAAAAATTTTTTTCTGAGCGACGTTTGATATGAAAAAACAAAGCACAAAAATACTTATAAAGAGATAGTTCAAGAGTCCAAATAGGAAAATTTCCTCATTTACAACACTTAACTTTTATGATCGTCTTTCTCAAAAGATTGAAGTTTGTGGAAAAAGCAGACAAATGATTGTGGAGGAAAAACAAAAAATTTGTGGAAGCCAACTTTTTGCAATGTTAATTTTTTTGTAAGCACACTTCAAAATATAAGAC